TGAGGCGCTGAGGGACATGGTTTAGTGGGTGGTGGTGTTGGGTTGACGGTTGGGCTCGATGATCTTAGAGGTCTTTTCCAACCTCAATGATTCTATGTTGAAATGCCAGCAGAAATTCATATTGAGAGGAAGTTTTAGGCTCTTATTTGACATCCATGTAAACAACGTAGATAATTTTGAAGTAGTGGGGGGGTTCATTCAATCAAGTTCAGTAACGTAGATAGATCTCCAGGTGAAAATAATCAATATTTAAAAGACTAAAAAAATTCACTGTTCAACATCATTTGGTATAAATACATCTGTGCTACGGAGATCAGTAGGGATGAAAGGACAGTTGAAAAATTCTACAAAGTCTTTAAATTAATGGTTGCAAAATTCCAATATGCAATTTGTCATGTTCCTGTAAACTTGCATTACCCATTTTGATTCAAGCCCAGTTTTGGATTGTGGCATATGATATGCTGAATTTTAGTCAGAAGATATCCATCAACTCAGATGCTAAGTAATAATAACAATTATCATCAGAATTAAGCCATACAGGAAAATCTCTAGTTTTATAGACTAGGGATTTAGAACGATGGAAAATTGACAACAGTTCATAATGTGGACTTTGGTGGTCAATGTGCAGCTACCCTGTCCTACGGCCAGGATAAAGTCTCTCTCAACCTCTACCTGATGTTCGAGCAGAGAGGTCTTTAATATAAAAATGCTACGCAAGGCAACTACAAAAAAATAAATTTCCTTCAATAGGATGAATAAAGTAATATCTTAAATTAGCAAGTTCCAGTGACATCACCAGATCGGCCACTTCTGCCAGCAGATCCAACTCTACTGAAGTCAACATCCGTGCACAAATGAACCTGGAGGAGAGGTAAGAGGCTCTGGCTTGTTTCCAAAAGTAAAAGTAAGCGAAGGGTGAGGTATGCGATTAATTCCCCGTCAGTATTCCAGCCACATTTCCTCCAAAACCAGGAAAGTATTTCAAGTGAGAAGTCTTGCTCATCCAGCTGTGGAAAACATTTTTCCTCAAAGTTTTCTACCCCTCACTTCTCCGAAGTCACTTTTTGACTCTATCACGCAGGCCTGGAGGCTGTCCGTGTACACCACACCTGCAAATACCAGCCAGCACTTCGCTGGTAACTGACGTCCCGGGGCCTCCCTCTACCCATTCCCTGGAGAAAGGGGAACCCCACTCATTGCAGATAAAAATGAGGGTCGCAGCAACAAGTTCATTTCACCTTGCAGGGAAAGCACCTTCCCACATTCCCTTATTTCTCAAGGAGGCTGGGTGTCTCCGCATAGGAGTCGATGGGTGACGATGTACCTACAAGAGAAACTACGCTGAGTTTCAACCCTGTTTGTAGTCAAATATAAAACGATTTTTTTTTTAAACAGATCTCAGACAATTTAGAGGTAATCCAAAGGGAGTAATATCATAAAAAGAAATCCTTGAAGCGTTAGATGCATCTTGGAAAGTCACAGTGGTAAGAATTATTCTAAGCAAGGCTAGCTGGGGTATTTCACACACTCTCACTGCAGTGTGAACTGAAAAACATCATACAATTAAACTGGTAATAGTCTCTCTGCTTTTTATTTTGAAACCTCAATCTAACTGCAACTCAAAAATACCTCGTGCTAACTGAATACATACAAGAGATACTACTAATAAACTTCACGCCTCCTTTCTGATTTAACAACACACACAAAAAATCGATTTAAAAATATTTTTAATCTATGAGCAAAACAGATGATAGCTTCTAAGAGAGTAAGTTTTACTGAAAAACACAAAGGTTTAAAAAAGCAGGACCGGTAATATTTAATCTCAGAAAGCAAATACAGAAGCAAGATATTTGGATTTTAGAAAATTTGTTTAATTAATAATGCTCATTAACTGCACAGTTTTAATTCATAAATACAGATGAAGTTATAAAAAACAAAATCTCAAATGTGCGATCCTTATTTTTAAATTTATTTGATTTTAATGGCTGCCTCTTAATATAGTAAAGATGTGGAAATCGGTGCAACTTGAACAGTTGCCAAACAAAAGCCTCTTAACAATGAAGTAATGCTCAGTGGAGCGTACGTTCATCTCTACCTTGCAGCTTCTTCTTGTAAAAGGAACTATATCAATCTTCGGTAGTATATTAAAACAAACCAACGCCTCAAAGAATTAATATAGGCAAATAATTAAAGATTAAGGTGTTTTGTATTCACATTCATGCTGCCACACAAAATCCATTTCTTTTCTGTATTTTTTTTTAATTTTTTTTTTTAAAAAGGCCGCTTAGGAAGTCACGATGGCTTGAAACTACACGTGATGGGATCTCTTCCTCTGCACTGAAGTCAACAGCAATTCTGATACTGACCTTTGTGGGTGCAGGCACGGGCCTAAAATACTCAGAGAAGTGTGAGGGATGGATCTAGTTAGTCTAATGCATTGGAAATGATTCATGACACTTTCATGAATGTACAGAAAAATATCACAAGGCGGCATACAATATAAAAACATTAAAAAAATCCACCCCCTCTTCAATAAGAGAGGTGTGGAGTTTGCAGGGTTTCCTCCTGAAAGATTTCTCATTCTAGTCTGAACAAGGGCTCTTCTGAAATCAATACAGTTAAAGCACATTAACATCATCCCACACAGGGTTAGTCCCAATATAAATGTGTTCTCTTTAGTCGCTCGTTTAGTGAACACTTTACTATTTACATTTACAGTATGCGTGCTGTTGTCAGTGCAAGACCAGATTACATTGAATACGAGGATAAATGCAGGGCAATTTCTTTCTCTCTTGGGACAAAACCAGTGAGTAAATCTTAACACGATAGGAATGTTTCAAAATGAAAACTGAAAACACATTTCACCAAGCCAGTATTCCTCTACGTACAGCGCATCCAGGAAAAGCAGCATACCATCTTTGTGCACGTTTGCATTTAACTAAGTACAGTGCAGAAGAAATGAAAGCCTGCTATCTTAATGAAATAGGAACAAATATCATCTGATTGAAACAACAAGTGGCCACAATATCTTTTTAAAGAAACGACGAAGAATTAAAAAAACCCAACCAAGCAAGAAGTAACGTATTGCGCATTTAGCGGTCAAGGCAACTGTTTTTCCTCATTTTCAGTAGCAACAGCCCAGTTTGAAATGTTAGAAACTCAAAAGGGCCCGCTGCGTGTAGCGCTTCCACAGGGCTTCCACCGTCCTTCTCCAGACCACCTCAAAACACCAAGTAACAACGAACGAGCTTGGCACAGGCTGCACTTAACGTTTTCCACATCGGCCTTCAAAAGCGTGATGCTCTCTGTGTGCTGAGGAAGGGCGAAGGGAAAAAAGAATACAAGAACATGCAAACTCTGTCAAGGAGTTGAAAAGATTAAAAAAAAAAGACAAGACAACAATGTATAAAGCAGTCAAGGAAGACACAACATGCCAACGAGTGATCTTTGGGAATATGCTATTCTGATAATACATTTCTATAGAGCCTAAAATAAAGAGATCCCTTAAAATCCCAATTGTAAATGGTTCCTCTAAATGAATACTTAAATTGAACAGCATGTAGTCTTGAGACTTGAAGAGATTTGTCTCACTCATTTTATGAATCAGGCCTATTAAACATGAAACCAAATATATTCTACAATTAAACTAAAAACATCTTATATTTTGAATGATAGCCAACTTGTACCTTGAAGGGACATAATTTTAATGCAATGAGAGATGCTACGTTTCTAAATGGTTAATGATGAATCAGGCAGGATATTCCCACGGAAATACCCTACCAGCGTCGTGTTTCTCTAAGGAAGGTGGAAATCCACAATACGAAATACTTACATTTATAAAAGACCGCTTTAAAAGGTGTGTGTGGCAGAAGTTTATGTATCTTTTCTAAAACTTTTGCTTCACTTGCTAAGGAGGCATTCACGTTCCAGACTTGCACAACATCTTCACGGTCACGAACGCTGACGCTAACCCCTATTACTTCATCATCTGCACAGAAGAAGCATAACCATTAAGGAATACTTTAAAAGTGAGACGTCTAATTTGATACTTATGTATTATGAAACAGTGCCCAAAAGCTGAACAAACCGAAGGAATGAAAAAGAGCAGTCTCCAGTGAGGAGAATACCGATGTTCAAACCAGACAAAATAGTTACCAGAAAGAAACAAACACTGTATTTATAGAAGCTATTGGAAATATTACCTCACAGTGGTTTTAATAAAGTGCCACAGGATTATTCATCTTTGCTATTAGCACTCTTTAACTTGATGAGAAGGGAATCACAAGACTCCCTTCAGCAAGGTTAGCAATGTAAGCTACTAAAGCTAATTTACCTACAGTAATGTCAAAATGGGGTGATGAGGGTGAAACAACTAAAACACCAGGAACAGTACCTAGAGGAGATCAGACACCAGCTTTTCCAGACTTTGCTCTCTTTTTTCTTTACATTTTGTCAAGGCAGCAACGGGGGTGGGGGGGGGGGGGGAAAAAAAAAGGCTAGGAAGTCAATTGATCAACGGATTGACTGCTTGGCTGGCAGCCAGGTCTGCATTTCTCAGGTTATTCACGCTCAGGCTGGATGTTTTCCAGGAGGCTATTGTGAAATTCTCAGGATGCAGCTTCGTGGAGAGCTCAGCCTAAGGCCATGCCATGGCTGGGAGCGGTGGCTGCCTCCAGCAGTGACCTCCACGGCGCAGCTGCACCGCGCATCCTAAGGAAGGGGTCAGTAACAATAATGCAAAGGTGGTGTCAACAGCGCACGGCCAAGGGGACAAGCTACTGCTGCAGGCAGCAGAATGTCATGTATTTGCTTAAACTGACCCTGAGACCACCCTATCAGTATAAAGGGCAGGAACACTCCCTTCTTGACACCAACTCAAGTATGCATACTAAGGATTTTGAAAAGCAACTATTAGAAATGTCTCTCGCAGCTCAAGGATTTCAGACTTGTATTCTGTATCTTCCAACTCTGAAAGTCAGGAAGACAATGAGAGAAATAAACTATTGGAGAAACTCATTCAACAAGACTTTCGTAGAAAAAACAAAGTCACCAAGGTGAATATACCAGCAGCAGCCTACTGCAATATCCCTGCTCTACCATATTAGCTAGGTGTAAGAGAAACTGTTTGAAAAGTTTTTGCTGAACTGCTCTGTGAACCCGAGAAATGCAATTCTTTTCTCTGGAATGATAGAGCAGTGAAGGAACGCTCCTAATGGGATATTCACCGTCACTGCAACAGCCAGTTTAATCAGATATTCATGCTTAGGAGAGAAGTAAATATGGTCAAAAGAAATGGTGGAGAAGTGTCATCTGAACTGAAAAGTAACCAGCTCCCAGAACAACCTTCCCTCTAGGCCAATGGATCAGTGTCGTGGTTTAATCTCAGTCGGCAACTGAGCACCACGCAGCCG